TGATTATATTGATCACTATTACCTTCAGAAGTACCTTTTAAGCATTTCACAAATTCCATTGCTGATCACTATCATGCAGGACTACCATTTTATATAATGTGGTCCGAAAAAGTAGGACACAGCTTACTGACGCCAGATAGTATTTGTCAGCGTCAAGCAAGTTAATTGCAAGCTCAAAAATGAACCCTTTAGAGATGAACGTTATTGGTGGTTATTCTAATTGCCCCGCCAAGCCAGAATGTGCATTACGTTCAACCTGGGAATGAGGTTGCCTTACGTTGCCATCTTGTTCAGGGCTACTACTAAAAAGCGACACAACGATACAGGAACCGGAACCTGGAACTGTGCATAATTTATGCAAATTAGAGTATTTTGCACCACAGGAGATATATGTGACAATAATTTACAGGGGGGGGGGGGTGCAATTAAAAAATAGAATAAAATATTATATGCAAAGCATTTATTTTGATTTTTTCAGTAAACAAAACAAAGATGAACATCGTTGTAGCACTATATTACGAAGTAAAACATGCGGCGATTCTTTTTGTCTGTTTTGATATGACTGCATGTGACGCACTTAGTTTATTTAGCCGCCGCACTTGATTATGAAATGCCCGCAGACAGAGACTAGGAAACCACTACGGCACACAAAGCAGATTGCGCTGAATTCAGCAGCAATTGTGCGCTAAAGTAATTAGAGGGTAGTGTATAATGCAATCCAACATTGAATGTGCTATATACGCTGCGAATACGCTGGTATACTGCATGCTAAAAATATCCGCTTGAACATCAATCACAAACATGAATGAAGTTATGAAGGTAACTTCAATGTCAAAAATACATTTAATAATGCATAATATTCGCGTGTTCGCAGCGTATATAGCACATTCAATGTTGAATTGCATCATACACTACACTCTTATTTAGTTATTACTTTAGCGCACAATAAATTGCTGCTGAATTTAGCGCAATCTGCTTTGCGTGCCGTGGTTTCCTTCTCTGTCTGCTGGCATTTCATGATCAAGTGCGGCGGCTAAATAAACTAAGTGTGTCACATGCAGTCATATCAAAACAGACAATTACGAAGCATGTTTTACTTCGCAATATAGTACTACAACGATGTTTATTCTTTGTTTTGTTTACTCAAAATAAATGCTTTGCATGTAATATTTTATACTATCTTTGAATTGCGTCCCCCCCTGTAAATTATCATTATATATATCTCATGTGGTGCAAAATGCTCTAATTTGCATAAATTATGCGCGGTTCCAGGTTCCGGTTCCAGGTTCCGGTTCCTGTATCGCTGTATCGTCGTATCGCTGTATCGTTTTTTAGTAGTAGCCTCATACCATAGCCCCAGGTGGTCTTCCTGCTTAGACGCTCATCTCCAACTTTAACTTTTATATTTTCACTTTTATATTTTCACTTTTATATTTTCACTTTTATATTTTCACTTTTATATTTTTACTTAGTTTATATTATGTTTCAGCTCAGCTTTTTACTTTTATACAACAATATGCATATGTCAAACATGATTACAAGCTATAGAGACATTGTATTTTACTGCGCGAAATCCGTGTTACATACTGAACGTTTCATAAAGAGCATTATCGCGCGCATCAATAACTGAGATACGCATACCGAATTCGCCATGCAGTCATGCAGACAGCCCGGTAGACTCGGTTTAGACGGCGAACTTTCTCATGCGCCGAACCCGTAATACAACGATTTATAAGTACGACAGATCTAGAAGAGCGGCGTCAGGCTAAACTCTAAATCAGTTGCCGAACTTGTGCGGTTGTGCCGTAAGAAATGAAGCGCTTGAAAATGTCGCCGTATTACGGGAGTAATGCTAATGTCTGCCGGTGGCGAATTCGGTATGCGTATCTTAGTAATGCGCGCGATAATGCTCTTTAATTAATTAAAGAAGCGTTCAGTTTGACACGCATTTCGCGCAGTCAAAATACAATGTCTCTATAGCTTATAATCATGTTTTGACTTATGCATTGTTGTTAAATATCACAATTTGTATTACTAAATGCCTATAATAAATATGAAAATAAACGTTGAACCAGTGTAGAAAACACCCGAAAACAATGTGGAAAACTATAAATCAATTAACAAATACAAAATCTAAGACGACAAATATTAATGAATTGATAATCAACCAACGGAAATCGTAACAGAACCAGAGAAAATAGCCGATTCCTTGAATACCTATTTTAATGAGATTGGTACTGTTTTGGCTAAAGATCTACCAAAAGGCAATAATTCATTTGAAACGTATGTCGTCCCTACCGATAAATCATTTGAAATTAATAGATTTTCATCAATTAATGTTAAAAACGTAATTTCGAAAATTAATACTTCTAAGGCAACTGGACATGATCGAATATCGCCGAAACTTTTAGAGGATAGTGCCGATATTATAGCTGAGTCGCTTACCGTTATTTTTTATAAGTCGATAGAAACCGGCATTTTCCCTGACGATTTAAAGGTGGCGTGCATATCCCCCATATATAAGGGAGAAAGTAAGACAGAATGTAGCAACTACAGCCCAATATCTGTCATATCTGTAGTTGCTAAAGTATTTGAAAAACTAGTTTCAGGACAACTCATGGAATATCTGGAAACCTATCAGATAATAAAATAAAAAAAGTTTCAGAAACAAAAACCTTAGGTGTTATTGTCGATGACCAACTTAAATGGAATTCACATATAAATACGGTTGCCACCAAAGTGTCAAAAGGCATAGGAATGATTCGACGAATGAAAGCTTTTGCACCCCCAATCAACCCTTATTTCTGTATACAATTCAATTATCTTGCCCCACTTTGACTATTGCAGCCTTGTTAGTTGGGATATAGGAAATGCATATTCGCTCGAAAAACTCCAAAAACTGCAAAACAGGGCTGCAAGAGTCATAACTGGTAAATCATATGATGTCAGATCTAATTGGATATATTAGAAGAATGACTGGCAGCCATTGATGGTAAGATGGGGTAATCATAAGGCGATATTTATGCATAAAGTTACGAATGGTGAATACTTAGAAAATATATCTAGCTTGTTTGTCGTTAAAAATAATGACAATTATAATTTACGAAATAATAATATCGATTATAAATTAGAAAAGCCCAAAACGAACTTTTAAAAAAAAAAGCATCAGCTATTCAGGTGTAAAAATTTGGAATGAATTACCAGTAGAACTGAAAAGCAATTGCTTGTCATTAAACGCATTTAAAACCTTGCTTCGGGACAGACCTCAACATAATACTTAAGTCTTAGGGACGGACCATTAGAAAAGTGATGGGGGGGGCAAACAAAAAAAAAATTATTCCCAGAAAAAAATGAAAAAAAAAATCTTTCAAGGCATAGTGCAAAAAAAAAAATTCTTGCTTAGAAGATAGGCCAAGTGGTGTACTGGAGGGAGGGCTCAGGGGAGCTGAGCCCCCTTGTTGAAATTTCATGTTGACTTGGGGGGCTGCACGTTGGTCAAATTTAGCAAAATTTCTCCCACTCGTGCGGGTTCGTATTGACAGCGGACATATTACAGAAAGTGGCCAGTTCTTTGAAAAATGCAAAAGTTTCAATTTTACACCGCAAGTCCACTGACAATATGAGCCTGCGATCCTGGGAGAAAATTTGCTGAATGTGACCAGCGTGCTGAGCCCCCCTATACAGTATTATGGCACGTTGCATAATTGATATTCTTAACAACGTGCGAAAACACACACAAAAAAGTACCAGTAAACGAAAATGTTCTTTAGAATTGCATCTCATTTTCACTCATCATTTAACACAATGATTTGTGTAATCTTTATATCGCCATTTTTGTAATCTTTATATCATTTAGTATCACTAAATTGTAAATTTCGACATACTAAAACGCTGTTTTCTGACCATCAGAATTCTGTCAAATCTTCCCCAAAGTCCAGGAAATGGCATTTCAGAGACTCTAAATTTAAAAATTTCCTCGGGCCTTCGGCCCTCGCTTCGGCTTGTTTTTAATAAGAATAATGTCAAATGTTTGTCCCAGAATTACTAGAATAGACTGCGAGCAATCCCTAATAAATAGAGGGATTGCCGCTTTAACTAATTGTCAAGCGTGTTTGATTAAGCTCCGCCTACTTGTTTATATTTCAAAACAGGGTCAAAAACATCTCTTGAAAGGCGCGATCTCGAATGACTCAATTCGCTTAGTGTAAAACCATCAAACAACGTGTATTTAAATTCTCAAATTTCAGTTTGGCAAGTATGAGTATTCATAATCAGAATTTGTCTGGCAGAAAAACGTATAAAGCAAGGCAAGGGGTCTTAGGGTTTATTGAAGGGTCTATTCTATAGACTGTGATTTTCTGCGACAATATTTTGATATATATTAATAGTTTACAGTAATAAAAAATTACCAACTTAATACAGCTATTCAGCTGAATTACATGCAGGTTAAGATTTACAAGGAGTGTTTGTAATTTACGTTATATTAGTTAAAACGTGCGAATGTACCCGCTGCTGAGATGATTTGTTTTTATTGTACTTGCATCCGACCGAGATAGTAG